GGCATGAGCCACTGCACCTGGTCAGTTTTTTTTTTTTTTTTAAAGACAGAGTCCTGCTCTGTCGCCCAGGCTAGAGTGCAGTGGCATAGTCTCGGCTCACTGCAACTTCCCCTTCTCAGTTTCAAGTGATTCTCCTGCCTCAGCTTCCTGAGTGGCTGGGATTACAGGTTTCCACCACCACACCTGGCTAATTTTTGTATTTTTTAGTAAGGACGGCATCTCACTATATTGATTGGCTAGGCTGGTCTTGAACTCCTGACCTCAAGTGATCCACCTCAGCCTCCCAAAGTGCTGGTGGGATTACAGGCGTGAGCCACCACGCCTGGCCCAAACCAGCAGTTTTAAAGGCTGCAGGGTGCCAGCACGGTGGTTCACACCTATAATCCCAGCACTCTGGGAGGCCGAGGTGGGTGGATCCCTTGAAGTCAGGAGTTTCAGACTAGCCTGGCCAATATGATAAACCTCGTACCTAATAAAAACACAAAAATTAGTTGGGCATGGTGGCGCATGCCTGTAGTCCCAGCTCCTCGGGAGGCTGAAGCAGGAGAATCATTTGAACCTGGAAGGCGGAGGTTGCAGTGAGCCAAGACTGTGTCACTGCAATCCAGCCTGGGCGCCAGAGCGAGACTCCATCTCAAAAAGCAAATACATAAAAATAAGTACAGAACTAAAGGCTGCGTATCTCACCCTACGACGAGGCCGTGTTTCCACTCCCGGACACTTAGGCCGCTCCATGTCCCCTTCTTTTAAGCCTGCTTACCTCTAGTCCTGTCTCCTACTATTCTCTAGGGTCGGTTCTTAATTACTTAGTCGAAAGGGAAGAATTATTTGATTATTATTTTTTTGGTGAGAGTTTTGCTCTTGCTGCCCAGGCTGGAGTGCAGCGGTGCGATCTTGGCTCACTGCAGCCTCTGCCTCCCGTACTCAAGCGATTCTCCTGCCTCAGCCTCCAGAGTAGCTGGTATTACAGGTGAGCACCACCAAGCCTGGCTCATTTTTGTATTTTTAGTAGAGCCAGGGTTTCATCACGTTAGCCGCGCTGGTCTCCAACTTCTGCCTTCCACCAATCTGTCCGCCTCAGCCTCCCAAAGTGCTGGGATTACAGGTGTGAGTCACTGTGCCTGACCTTTTTTTTCCTTTTGTAGAGCTGGGGTCTTGCTACGTTGCCTAGTCTGAACCTCAGGCCTCAAGGGATCCTCCTGCCTTGACCTCCCAAGTACCTGGGATTACAGGCGTGCGCCACCGCAGCCAATCCAACATTGTGATATTTTAATATTTGCTAAACTTAAAAGTATTCCCTCTCATGTAATTTTAGGATTACATTTGTATTTTTCATTAGAATCTCCTCTCTGAGCACTGTACATGTGGCCCTGGTGAACTGAGTGAGACTAGGCAATACTCCCAACGAAGGTCGAATTGTTCCGCCCAACGCAGGTGTGGTGGAATACAGCACACAGGGCACTCAGCACACACACCTAAGCAAACTGATGCTCTGAGCCGGCTCCCAATAACCCAGGCTCTGGAAACTGACGTGTGGACACCGCGGCTCCTGGGCAGAACCGCCTTCTGCCCAGTCCACCTAGGCAAATGCAGCGCCTCCAACAGGTTGGACAGATATGGTTTCTAATGCTCTTTCATTTCAATTCAGAAAGGACGGACATTTTTCAGAATGAGCAGATACTTAGTGACACAGCCTTGATGGTATGGATAACGCACACACACAAATCAGAGTTTTTGGTACCACAACTTTTTAAAAGCCAAACGGGCAGCGGGCATGTTTACTAAATGGTGAGGAAAACTAAAACAGGAGGGAAGAGCTTCAAGGCCAGTGACCAGGAGGTGGCTGTGCGAGGAGGCTCAGGGTCTAAATGCAGAGGCGGGCAGAGGGGCAGGCTGCCCCCGGGTGCCCAAGGGTCCCTTCCTCCACAGCAGCCCCGGACAGCCTCACGCAGCTGCCACACACAGGCCTCTGCCACAGTCGGTGACTTCCAACTCTTCACAACACTAAGGCTGGAATCAAAACCTTTCTCTTCCCCACAGGCAAAAACCTGGGCATTCACCACTTACCGATGATGAATTATGTGTTAAACTATCCATGAGATGCATTTAGACAACAAAGCTCTTTCAAGAAGTTCAACATAACAATATCTTGAACTCAGCAGGTTAGGTGATGTCCACTCTTGTTCCTTATGCTTTGCACCTACTATTATGACTATTATTCTTGTGACTATTTTGCATATGCTCAATTTTTAACAAAGTCATTTAAGAAGCTGACATATTATCTATTCCTCCCCCAAGGAGGGCCCAGGCTCTTTAGAGACGGCCGCCTCCAGGGCAGGCAGGACCCACATCTCCCGGAAGTACCGGACTGTGCCAGGAAGCAGGGAACTCAGGGCATAACCCAGGACGCAGGTGCCGCCTGAAGAGGCTCCAACATCAAGGGGGCCAAGTGAGTCCCAAACTAGACAGGAAAGTAGTATGATGCCACAAGTGAACAAAACCTTGCTAAAGCCACACTGGGGCATTTTCACAGACATGCCTATTTACAGTAGCAGCGCACACGGGGGAGGTACGGTGCGGCCGTGAGGGAAGCCACCTCCTCCTTGCTGACCGGGTGAAGCGGGTACTGCTGGCATCAGCTGACCCAGCAACTCCTCCCAGGCAGGAGTCAGGGGGACGCAAGCCTCTGTAGGGTAACCGCTAGGGCTGTGGCCAGCTGACATGGGCAGACATCAGCCTGGGGGACACAGCAGGGGCACAGGCACCCACTGCCTTGGCAGAGCATAAGGACACACACCCCTTGAAGCAAGTCCGGTGGGATAGGCAGAGCAGGGCCCCCCGTCAGTGGCGGCAAGCCGGGGCCTGGGCTCTGGCCACTCCCCTCTCCTGCAGCAGTGACTTTCTGGACCCAAGCACAGAACCTCGGCAGCCCTGATCAACACCACTGTGTTTGGCCCTTCAAGCCTGTTCAAAGAGTCCTGAATCCTGATGTCATCCACACTATTACTGGCCCTCCTAGCGAGGTCTGACACACAGGTGCTGTCCCTGCTGTGCCCAGGTGGGAGACAACACTGCTGTCCAGTAAGTCAAATGAGAGCCCAACAGCAGCCACCGGCCCAGGGCCGGGAAGGCAGCCCGCAGACTCCCGCCGGGTCACTCACACTGTCGAAGCTGCTGGAGCACTGCTGTGCTCAACCGCCCAGCCTGTGTGTTACTCGGGGTTGACATGAACTCACCTGCCTAGAGGTTCTTACATCCACCTGCTCTACAAACTGTAAAGTACCTGCCCAGTTCCAGGACTCGGCTCTTCTTTTCGGCCATCCTCTTTTTTTTCTTTTTTTGAGACGGAGTTTCGCTCTTGTTACCCAGGCTGGAGTGCAATGGCGCGATCTCGGCTCACCGCAACCTCCGCCTCCTGGGTTCAGGCAATTCTCCTGCCTCAGCCTCCTGAGTAGCTGGGATTACAGGCACGCGCCACCATGCCCAGCTAATTTTTTGTAGTTTTAGTAGAGACGGGGTTTCACCATGTTGACCAGGATGGTCTCGATCTCTTGACCTCGTGATCCACCTGCCTCGGCCTCCCAAAGTGCTGGGATGACAGGCGTGAGCCACCGCGCCCGGCCCCGGCCATCCTCTTTTTATTTTCTGAGACAGGGCCTCACTTTGCCACCCAGGCTGGAGTGCAGTGGCATAGTCAAGGCTCACTGAGGCCACCGCCTCCCAGGCTCCAGCGAACCTCCCACCTCAGTCTCCCAAGTAACTGGGACGACAGATGCGCACTACCACGCCCAGCTCATTTTATTATTTTGCAGAGACGAAGTCTCACTATGTTGCCCAGGCTGGTCTCGAGCTCCTGGGCTCTAGTACCCCACCTAGCTCAGCCTCCCAAGGTGCTGGGACTGCAGGTGCAAACCACCACGCCCAGCACTCTGCTCTTTTCCAAAGATGCTAGGATGGGCTGGGCACCGTGGCACACGCCTGTAATCCCAGCACTTTGGGAGGCCAAGACAGGTGGATCACTTGAGGTCTGGAGTTCACGACCAGCTGCACAGCAAAACCCCTGTCCCCACTAAAAATACAAAAAATTAGCCAGGTGTGGGAGGCACCTATAATCCCAGCTACTCGGGAGGCTGAGGCAGGAGAATCACCTGAACCTGGGAGGCAGAGGTTTCAGTGAGTCAAGATAGTGCCACTGCACTCCAGCCTGGGCAACAAAGCAAGACTCTGTCTCAAAAAATTAATTTTTTTTTTTTTAAAGATGCTGGGATGGCTGTCCCTCTCATGGGATGGGCAGGTCTTTCATCAGGGTCAGTTACACCAGCCAGGACCACATCACCCATCCAGGATTTGAATACTTCTCAGTTTGGTTTGATTACATTCACTGTAAAGACGGTGAAGGCCACTCAGGGGCCAAGTACCTCTGCTTCCTCTCTGCCATCTGCGAATATGCGACCAACTCTTCTTTGCACCCTTTCCACAACTCCGGGCCCCCCAACACCAAGCCCTCAGTACACGGTGGTCGGAAGACACTTCCAGATGCCCCTGCCCACTGCCCCCCTCGTCACCAGCACAAGTGCCTGGCTGCTCCTGAGCCCCTGTGCCCCATCTTGCCTGGACCGCCTCCCTCTGCTACCACACGTGCAGCTTGCTGGCAGGCAGAGGGGCTCATGGTGTCTGGTCGTGCCCTGGTCTTCTGCCTCACACCCGTGGCTCCCTACCTCCTCCACAGCACCAATGCCCTCATCCCTCCTCTAATTTCTGAAGGACAGACATCCAGAAATCTCTGCTGTACTCAAAATCCACATCTCATCTCGGCAAGAGAGAGCCGCGCACTGTACGTATCAGAGTGCACCGTCATCCCCAGGGCAGCTCAGAAGGCTCCTCCCTACCTCAGGCTCAAAGTGCGGCTCCACCCTGTTTCCTTTTGTTTACCCTCACTGCCAAAAGGACTGAAGGGGCCCCTTTTCCACGCAGCTGCTGCCCCAAGGATGCCCACAGACCATGGTCTTGGCAGCCAGCCCTTCTTCCTGCAGCTGCTCGTCTTCCCCGCCACCTTCGCAGCTTCTGGTCCCTGACACCCGCCAGTTCCACAGTCTGCACATCCTTCTCCCGACCACCCAGGAAGCCAACCCAGCCTGACAAGCAGTCTCCCCAATTTCTCATATTTGTTCTCCGCACCAGCCTGCTGGACACCCACACCTTTTCCTGCTTTCTCCAAACGCCCGGTGGGCGACACCCTGGCCGATGTGTCCCCTGGCCCCCACAACAGCCCTCAGTGGGGTGGCACTCATACTACGCACGCCCCATGGAAGGACTCGGGTGTGATGCAACCCCTCCCTGCTCTACGCCAGCTCACAGGGGCTCCAGACCGGGGTAAGCAGCAGCTTTTCAGGGACCAGCAACTTCGCACCTTCCCAGCTGCAATCTTCAAATAGAACAAGAGGCAAAAGTACCTGCAGGGACCCAGATCCCTCCCTTCACGTCCTTTCCACCCACGTCTCAGCTCCCTGATGTGGTTTCCTTCCTGAAACGCTGCTAATTTTAGCTCACTGTGCAAGCCACAAACACGTGTGCCCAACACAAGAGTCACCTGTGTCCACAATACCCTGCGAGAGGCCTGCCAGGCAAGCACTTAGAGCAAGTGCTAAGGGTGGACACGGACATGAACTCATTTGCCTAGAAGTTCTGGCATTTGGCCGCTGTACAATCTTAACATTTAAAAATCTACCTACTAACTTAACTGTTTTCTGAAAATGTAAGAAAGGCCATGCCAATCCAACTTACAAAACAGCACAATTTGCATAATTTAAACCAGAAACAGATTCTGCCTCTCATAGTCCAGCACCCTCTCAGGAGGAGGTGGGTTTGTCCCTACGGCAAGGAGTTAAACAGAAGGAACCTTGCCACACACAGATGGGTCCAAGAGTGGCTCCAGAAACCTCCAGAACCCAGTGGCCTGCTGCCCTCATTCACAGCTGGCCCTGGGAGTTCTTGGGCACTGCTTTGCTTGGCTCAGCTGGGAGGGACAGAGGAAGGGCAGGAGCAGCGCAGTGAGGGGAAAACAGATGGGCTTTGGGGATGGTCTCAGGCACAGAGCAAAGGCGGGAGGCAGCCCTAGAGGCCTGGTGCAGAGGGGCCAGCCCAGGAGAGCGGGAAAGCGACAGGGAAAATCAGGCAGTTCTGAAGGAAAGAGGAGTGTGGCTTCGGATGCCAAGAGAACCCTGTCTGGTAGCTACCTTGCTGGCCTCTCCCAAGGCCCCGTGCACAGCCTGTCTTGCTGGGAATGCTCCCAAAACCTGGATGACAAGTGGCACTCCCACTTGGGGAGCTTGGGAAGGGCCTGAACAGCTCAGTGATGCCCTGCAGTTCCTGCATCTGAGGGCCACTGGCCTGGCCTGCTCATCACAGGACTCACTCAGGTGCCCCCTCCTCCAGGAAGCCATCCCGGACCCCAGCTGAGGCCCACATCCCTCCCATTGACTTCCGTATGCTGAACCTCCCCCAGCCGGCATACTGCATCCTAAATTAGGGCCCTTTCTAATTTTTTTGAAAGTGTATAAAAGAGAAGACTGTCTCTATTTTGTTCTCCTTGTACCCTCAGCTCCCAGCCCAGTGCCTCGTAAGATGCCCAATAAATGACAGAACAAATGTTTGAAACAAGGGAGAAAAACTTGAGGGCTCAGGACTGGGCCTTTGTGAGAAGCCCACAGCCAGCGCTGGGAAAAGACTCCCACTTGGGGAGTGGGGAGGAGAGGGAGGGAGGACCTGGTCCCAGCAAATCAACAGAAGGTGGTGGCTCTGGGGCGGCATCCCACTCGAGACCAGGGCAGGTGTGAACTGATGCCCAGAGGGTGGCTGGTCGGAGTTCAGGGGCATGAGGGAGCTTGGGAAGGACTAGGCTGCCCTCAGGCCTGTCCTGTCTGAGGTGCAGGACAGCATGCCCCCAGCAGGAGGCGCAGTACGGGCAGAGCTGGCAAGTCGCAGGGTCCCGGCTGCCTCAAAATCAGTTATGACGACCCGCAAGTCCTACCTCCTGACAACATGGTTCCCAGACGCCGGCCGGGGTCACCCTGGGTCTGGGGCAGTCCTCTGAGGCCCAGGTCTTGAGAGAACTTGGCGTGCACAGTGCAGCAGCTGCCCCAGGCCCAGGTGTTGGTGAGGAGGAGGATGGGGAAGAGCCATGAAGCCCGCTGCTTCACAGGAGGCCTGCAGGGCAGCTCCACCTGTAGCCCAAGCCCGCCCCCAAGAGCTGTTGCCCCCTGAGACTCAGTCCCTTGTCTGCACAATTGTGGTGGTGCTGCGTTCTCACAGGTGGTGGCAGGGGTAACAGGGGCAGCAGGAAGCGCCCAGCAGTGCTGGCAGGCAGCACTCATTCCACGCTGGCAGTGTTAGCCGTTGCCATAGTGATCACCCCTGCCCCTGCCGGAAGAACACCCTGCTGGAAAACCTGGCACCTCACAGAGGAAAGGCAAACCCCAAAACACTGCCCCGGAAAACGAGCAAAACCCCTCAGGCAGGTGGATCACTTGAGGTCAGGAGTTCGAGACCAGCTTGGCCAACATGGTGAAACCCCGTTTCTACTAAAAACACAAAAATTAGCCAGGTGTGATGGCACATGTGTGTAATCTCAGCTACTCAGAAGGCCGAGGCAGGAGAATCACTCAAACCCAGAAGGCGGAGGGTGCATTGAGCTAAGATGGTACCATTGCAATCCAGCCTGGGCAATAGAGTAAGACTCTGTTTCAAAAAAAAAAATGGAAAACAAGCAAAACTCAGTCAAGTGCAAGGAAAGAGAAGGGCCTTCCAGGCTGCAGTGGTGCCCAACATCAACAGCTGGCACAGGGAAGCCGTGCACGTCTGTCCAGTCACCTAAAGACACACAACTAGTGAACCCGAGCCAGCCTCGGCTAGCACTGGGGATAAGCAGCGGAGACACATATGGTTTTCACTCAGGACAGTGAAACTCAGAGGAGCCTCTGAAGAAGGAGTTTCCTCTGGAATTGGCCGCTTAGGAGCCATGAGCTTCAAGCAAGATGAGAAGAAACATTTGTAACCGTTTGGAGAAAGCATAGTTGCAAAGCTGAAAAAGCTGGGACACCTGCACAGGGTGACCTCGCTCCCATGGGGCACAGCAGACATCGTGTGGCCCCACACACACCTTGGTGACCACCAGGCCCCAACATCAATGGCAAGCCTCGATGTTAGTCTTGTTTTGTCTACAACTGCCTCCCTCTGTTTCTCCCCACAACTTGCCAGGCTCAAAGGATGCTCTGCCAGGCCCTGAGTGAGGGCGGGAGATGTTCTGC